CCCAGTACGGGGGGGTCGTTGTGGGTGCCGGTCATTTGGGATGGAGGGGAAAGGAGGGCAAATAGCAGCAAACTTCAGGAGCTGGTAAGCCGCCTGTTTTAGCCAGCCCCAGGTTTCCACTGGAAACCTGGAACCACAAGAGAAGTGAGCTGAGCTCCGTGGTGCCTTGAGACCAGGAGGACACCGACCAAACAGCTCCCACGTAACTGAGAAGGGCTCAGAGATGCCACAGGCTGGAGCAGCCAGATGTGCCGCGCTCAGCCAGAGGCAGGAGGGCAAAAAGGGAGGAGGGGAGGGGGGACACAGCCAAATGGCCGAGCATCCCATCCCTGCGCCCGAAGCTGGGTGCTGGTCTCACTCCCGGCACCCACAGCCACGTTACCACCGCCCAGGCAGAGTCACCTCCACCACCGCGGGCCCAAAGGGTCGAGCCAGTCACCTGGGATCCTGGGATCAAACCAGCACCTCTGGGCTGCTTTAGGTGGCTCTGGGCCACAGCTCCCCCCACCCTCACCTGCGGCTTTGCCTACGGACTCATTGCTAAGCTATAAATAATTATCTACAACGTCCAGAGGGACCAGAGCTTACACAGCAGTGATTTCTCCTGGAGACCAACTCTGCCCGGTCCTCCCCCAGCCTCTCCCACCTACACCCAAGAGACACCAAAGGACGGAATGGAGCAAAGTCTCCCAGCCCAGAGAGCAGAGGGGCTTCCGAAAGGCAGGACCCCCACCACGGCGTTTCTGTACCTTGGTCAGCGAAGACGCGGATGATGTTCCCAGGGACATTAAATTCCTCCACCCTACAGCCATCCACCAGGTCTTTGTCTGTAGAAGGCAGCGTCTTTCTCCTCTGGAAGATCCGCCAGAGCACAGAGGGCACCGGAACGGGGGTTTTTGGGTTGGGCTTGGCGCTCAAACCCAAGGATTTTAGCAGTAAACTTTCCTGCAAACCCAACTCCGTGCCCAGAACGGCGCTGAGGAGCACCCAGGCCAGGCTGGCACTGAGGCTGGGGAGAAGCCCCATGGCTCTGCTCTGCTGCCCGCGGACAAAGAGCAGCCCAAGCAGCCCGGGACCCCGAAGACAGGGGCCAGGGGGGTGTTGATTGCCTGATTGGAGCCTTTGATCGAGTTAGTGCTCAATTAGCACAGAGGGATTCCCAGGATTGGGCAGAGGGTGTGAACGGTCCCTCCAGGCTCCCCGGGACCTGTTAACCCTTTGAGGCTGGGTGGCAGCAGGGCAGCTGCCCTCCCTCAGAGCTCCTACCACCTCTCCCACATCTCCACACCATCGAGGTCCAACAACAAAGCCCTTGGTGGCAGGGAAGAGGCTGCTCTTCCCCGCACAAAGCTGCCAGCAA